TATTGTTAAGTTACATGCAAATAGGATGCTAAAAAGTGAAAAAATAATGATTAACTTAATAATTTTACCTTGTCTTTTGTCTTTCCACAAGTCCTAGAATCATGACCTTTAATACCACATGTGCTACAAATTCGTCTTCTACTATGAGCTGTATTTTGTGACACTTGTTTTCCTGCAAGAATCCTAGAAAGTTCCTTTGGTCGACCCTTGGTTCTAACCTTTTCCGGATCACGAATATCTATGTTACTTGAAATTAAATCTTGAGATATTGCTCGAGCACCAAAATCTTGCTCACTTTGTTCAGTAACCAAACCTTCAAGCTCCTTTCTAATATTATATAATTGCCTTTTCAAATCTTCCACCACTGCTGCAGCAACATTATAAAGTTTGCCATGACTTACTGCTTGGTCATGCACTTCATTAAGAGATTTTCGAAGATTCCAAGAAGCAAGTGCAGAAACCACTAATTCTTTTGATGTACTTATCAATTGAGCTTGTTTACTACTATATCTATATGCCAAGGTCCATCTAGCCAAAATGTATTGTTCAGAAATCTCTTCCATTCTATAACATTGCATCATTATGTGAAGAATATGTTTACACAAAATGCCACGAGTCTCAAACTTCCCACAAGTACAAGCAAACTCCTCCTTGGACGGACCACATCGCACGGAGTGTGAATCAACCTTGCCCCCAAACCCATAACTAACATCATATGTGGTCATCCCATCATTAATAGCTACTTCATCATGCACACAATATAAAGAATCTTTGAACTCACTCTGAAATTTAGCAAATATCTTTCTAGTGTAAACCATTCCAGCTCGAACTTCTAACTTATGCAAGTGACACGGATTTGGCTTTGCTCTCATTGTCCACATGTCTTCATTCACTTCCTCATCACGACGACATTGTAGAGCTTTAGCATATTGGCCAACAAACTCGGATAATGGTGTCATAGAGTTCACATAACCATCAAAAAATGAATTAATGCTCTCACTTCGTTGACTTGATCTCATTCCAGCAAAAAATGTGTCCCTCAAATACACATCAATCCAACTATATCGTTGCTCATACATGCTTTCTAACCATTTCCAGGACTTTTTTTCATTGCGTTGCTTCTCTGTCAATGGCTCCATAAACTCTTGTTTATATTTCTCCTTCAACTTTTTCCATGCATTCTCGACTTCTTCAATAGTTTTACTTTTTCTCACCCACTTATAATATTGTTCATCAAATCCAGGATTATATGATGATCTTAAAGCCCGAAGATGCTCATCCTCATGGAGTGAGATGTGCCAACTACAAAACCTATGATGTGTGTTCGGAAAAACCCTTTTAATTGCATTAGTGATTGCTGGGTCCTGGTCAGTGATAATTGCACCAAGTGCTTTACCCCCCATGCACCGCAGCCACCACTCAAATAACCACACAAAGCTATCTTCCTGTTCATCCAATAGGAGGGCGCATCCAAACAAAGTTGACTGCCCATGATGGTTCACACCAGTAAATGGAGCAAATGGTAAAAGAAATGTATTAGTCCGATATGTCACATCAAAAACCACAACATCACCAAAATTTTGATACATTTCCCTAGCTCTCCCATCTGCCCAAAACAAGCTCCTACAAACACCATTTTCATCAATCTCTATGGCATGGTAAAAATTTTCATCTGAAGCAGTCATGAATAGGAATTGTTGCATAACCATCATACACTCGTGACCAATGTTGCTCTCCCTTTTTTTCCTCAAATGTTGTTGACATTGTTGTGGGGTAATATTCGATGTACCATTGCTTGTCACATTCAAAAGTCTTGCAATTCTAGAAGGTCCACAGCCAGCTTGTTTATATTGATCCATTAACTCAATTGTCTCCGGCAACAAGTGTTCTTTGTTGTGGGACCGTAGCTTTTTTACTTTATTTGGGGAGTTAAACATCTCATGGTTATGTTCATCAATAAATTGGCTTATAATCCAAACTCCATCTTTCAAGAGAACAGACATTCGAGCACAACAATTTACTCGATCTGGACGGTCACATGTTCCCTTTTTTTTAGGCTGATAATTTCTCTTTTTTCCTGCCTTGTAGCAAACAAAATATTTTCGATTAACAGGTCCATCTGGGGACAACCTCTTTGCTGACTCCGTGCGAATACTAAATCCCATTCTTTTGGCATATTCATTATAAAATTCACGAGCTTCATCAGCCGAAGTAAAGTGCATATCTTTACAAGGCATCCCACCAATAATGTCATCTTCACCCAACATTTTGGGTCCTTCAATTTCCATAGCAGTACTAGTAGAAATCTCTTCTAACCCCTCAAGATCATCCATTTATACAGTTAAGAAGTTGTCATTGCTGACTAAGCAGTTGTTCCCATCAATTTCATTTTGAGATATTTGTTGTGAAATTGGAGAAAAATTCATCTTAATTCCTATAATAAAAGATAATATAGGAGTAAGATTTTTTTCTTTCTTGGGTAGATAGATAGAGCATAGTTAGAAAATAAAGCACTTACCGTCCTTCGAAGAAACAGGGGTGACTGTCGACAGAGATGACGAATTGTAGCAGGAGAATGGGGTGAAAATAATGGGTGCTAGGGATTAAGTCGACGGCATGGGATTATATCTGAAAAATTGAAGGAATCAGAGGCGTCAATGGAGATGGGAAGTAATGGAGATGGGAAGCAATGGAGATGGAGAAGGAGATGAGTGCAGAAGGGCCAAAAAGAAGGAGGGGCGGGACATTAAGAGAGGGTGGGAGATTAATAAAACGGCGTCGTTTGGGTTAGGACTCCAAATTTTTTTTGGGAGTCAGGACTGATGGCCACTTTCCCGAATATATAATATATTTTTAATTCTAAACCAAATACTCATAAATAACTCATGAGTAATTATGAAAGTTTGAACTCAAACTCATTCTTTTATTGAACTTGATAATAAGCTCAAACTTAACTTGAGCAACTCAGGAACTATTTTAGATCTAAACATTAATGGTCTTAATTTTCATTGAATCAATTGATATATATATATATATA